TTGTTTTCCCCAAAGATGTTAATCGGAATGTCTATAAATGGACACGGCCTGTTGTTGCCAATTCAACTGGATCACGTCAAATGTTCAAAAAGGGTTCTGGCTTGTTTCATATCGAGACGGTTCGCCAGATTTAATTTCGCCGGTTTGAATGAACATTAGTTTTTAAGTCGTTTTTTTAACAAATCCAGTTGTGAACTACACGTCTATGGGTTTATTAAGCAGCCCGTGTGACAGGAAATAGCACCAGTTGCATGTGGGAAATAATAGGGAGTGAAATGAATCCTTTACTGCTCCGTGTTCAAACATTTATCTGCATTTGTTCCCAACTTTTGGAAATGCAATATTACAATGCTGCAGTGTCCCTCTGAAGACATGATCCAAATGTTTAAACGACACATTTCACTCCAGCACTTTAGAAAATACTCTCAGCTTATCAATTACCATTCGTAGTCTTTTGAAAATAGCGATATGTTTGATAGCTGATTATGGACGTTAATAAAGTGTTTCCTTTAGTACTGTGACATTTTAACAAAGTCAGATTGACCTTTCATGAGATGCTCAGATGTTTTCTGCTTCAAATACACTAAAACCGCCATAGCTGGAGGAAGAGAAAATGTTGAATGTAAAGGAACACAGAGGCGATTTGGCGGCATCTAGTGGGGAAGTTACAGATTGCAACCAAGTCAAACTCCAAACTCCCCCCGTGTGCATGTAGGAAAACACACACATACATCTAGAGCCAGTGTAGAAACATGGCAGTGTATTAACTTCTATACTTCCAATAAATCCCACTCAATGTAACAAACTCTTTTAAGTGATAACGCCCAGCGTCGGAGCCGGAGGAAACCTGGAAGAGGTCCTTGGAAACATTCCTTTGGCAACATCAGCTCGTTGGAAGGTTTTGTATGAAATCTGTAGGTGTCCTCCGATCGTTAGCTTTAAGCAGCTCCGCTATTTGGTAAATATAAGAAAAGAAGATTGAACTTCTCAAACTCCTTCTTGAGGGACAAACCAGTGTGAGCCAGTGTTTTTGGGGTCGGCGTTGAAATAGTCCCTTTTAGATCCACTATACAGCAGGAACAATAAAGGTGAGTCTAACGTCATGATGCATTTAAGATGACACAGACGTTTATTGACTGGAGGATAAACATTTTATAGATATCAAACAATCATCTTCAAGCTGCATTTGGCAAAGCAGAAATAACAACAACCACTGAACCATTTCAGAGTGTGGAAGTCTTAGTGTGTTTGCAGATAAGCAGATGGCATTTTTACAAGTCCACATAAATCTCTTTGATTGAACAACGTATTAAAGAAGTAAAAGCTAATGGGAGTGCATTCTCATTCCAAAGGCAGATAGAGGACAGCTAAATGAAACCATCCATAATAAAATGTACATTTGAGCAACAAAAGACAGTGAAGGCAACAGGTGTTTGGTCGCTCGGTACCTGGATGCACTCGTTGATTTTCTTACTGTGCGTATAATTGGTGACATATTGAGCTGAAACCGATATCTGCAGATGTCTGTGGACAACAGAATCGCTGCGTGTCGGAAGCTTTGTGGTTTCCGTTGGTGTGTCCGTCAATACTGACCGACCACGTTCGGGGGGGGGAGGGGGAGAGGAAGCTCTTTTTTTAGCTCTTAAGTTTGCTGAAAAATAAACTGTGAACCGAGGACACAAATCCATGCTGCCGTTCAAGTTCGAGTGAAATCTCATCGTGTCTTGTTGACTGGTCGTGTTGAGAAATGTGTAGATTTTAGGATGCTGTTGGTCTCATTACTTAATCATGGATCAGCGTCTTTAAAGTCCCTCTGCACTCAAACATGTGCATTATTCACTTGGATGTTTGAGTGTTGGCGCAGAGCTCGACGCCGCGCTTTCTCATCGGTGGCTTCTCTGAGCTGCGTTCCAGACGTGCACTTTGTGAAACAGCCAATCGTGCACTTCTTTTGTCTAATAGGCCCCAATGAATTCCTAACAAGGTAATTGACCTACATGTGGAGACGCAAATAGTACAGTTTTTATAGATTATGCTTTTAGACATGTCTGGAGGGGATCTTCAAAAATGTTGCAATAAAAGCAGTCGAATGATTCCCTTTATTCAACCACTGTTTCTGTTAACAGATATGGAGATACGTGGAGAAGAGAATTGTAACATTTCCACAAAAAAATGCATATTCTTCAGACAAAATTCTTCTATTACTTAGGTTTTAGTACATTAATAAAAGCAGTCCAAATAATTTGCAGCTTATACATAGAGAGCGAGAGAGAGAGACTATATATCATTTTTATTCTATGCATGTGAAGATTCTGCCATCTTTTTATTTTCATGCAAATGACTACTTGATTACTGACGAGTCCCTGTAGAATAATAACGTCCATAATAAATGATACGCCTGCTTTATTGTCACATTGCCGTAGAACATGGCGACTATGACGCCGTCAAAGATCTGGCTTCTGCCAACTGTCCCAGATCCCCTTTAACCGCTTGGCCTCAAGAGTGAACGCACGGATGTTGGCGAACACATGCGCAATTAGGGGAGCGTGGATGCAAGGATGCACTCGAGGGCAAACGAGATTGGAGGGCGGATTTCTATCTTGGTCCATGTGGTGCAGCGATTGAACAGATTCAATCAGTCTCCTTCTCTTCTTCTCAAATCACGCTTTCTAAAAAGGTGAAAAATATCGAAAAAAAGCTAAATGAGGCCAAACGCCATCACGAGGGTTGTAGACTGATTGGATTGCGCAAAGCACCAGCACCTGCAGTCGGAGTGGCACTTACACAAACCTGTCAAGCCGCTTCAATGCTCTCGGAGAGAATTCTTCTCTTTTTTTTTCATTTATTTTCTCTTCTTCTAATATCACAGCATGGCCTTATCTCATCCACTTCAAACAGTGATGCCTCTCGAGATGAATCTCTAATGTGAGAGAACTGGAAAAACTATTATCTGGACGTGGCAGTTTTTCTTTGGCTGGCCGATCATCCCACGGTTGCCTTTCTAGTTTTCCCATCTCCATAAATTGCCCCCATCTCTCTGCTCGTTCCCCTCGTGAGGGGAAATGGACCTGCCGTTAGTAAAGCGCACGTATACCCAACACCTTCCGCAGAGAGACACAGAGAGAGAGGGAGGAAGGGGGGCCGGCGAAAATTTGTGGGCAGAATGTGGCCTCGATCACCAACTACTCAGTATCACTATGGTTACCGGTTATTATCTTTAAAGAGCATGTTTTACTGGCCCAATCATAAATTAGCTTTCAGCAAATAACTGCTATTACCAAATACACATGTTCGTTTATACCTTTCAATTAGCACAGATAATATTAAATACACTGTCAGCACTATTTTTTAAGCCAAATAATAAACTTGTGCTTTGAAACTGGATCATTTGGATGAATCAGACGTGCAAGCACATCTCTGGTAGGCTGTCAGTGGGCTGCTGCTGCAGGCCCGAGGTTGTGCTGTCCATGCTGAGAGACCTGGTTGGCGACGGGCCATGAGATGCACAGTTAGCCCCGGGTCAATTGCATTAGAGCGTCTCAAAGGCAAAAAGACAGACAGACATAAAGGCGATCGGTGGTTTGTGCTGATCGTAAAAAACAACCGTGGTGCCATTTCGCAACGGTTCTGCTGGGATGACTGGACTAGGTAAGTGGAACAGGTTTCTACAAGGGGGGAAATCTTCATCGCCATCAGTGTGCTCAGGTGACCTCTGACCTTTTGGCTCTTTACCAGCCTCGGATGCTCTTGAAGTGCCAGAGCTTTTAAACAAGTTTTGCATTACACAAAAAAATAAATATACTCTCACTGACAACAATACACAGTCACGCAAATGACTCCAGTGCTGCAGAGAGCGGTGCTCCCAGCGCGTGCAAGCATGCATGTGCACAGAGGGTCGCAGGCTACCCTCTAGTGGCACAGCGAGGCGATCAGCCGTGACACAAAAATAAGTTGTCTTCTACCTCAAAATGGATGAAAAACGGGTGAACGGAATACAAGAGGAGTTATATAAATAAACAAAAACCAAACGGATGGCGGGGGGGTGGGGGGGGGGGATTCCAGCGCATTAAATGGAGATGTGTTTACTTTATATGGAAATGAGCCTCATCCACACCAGAGGTCTTATTTTAAGGCCCAAGCTCTGACTTTTCAAGAAAGAAAGCTTTGATGTTAGGCAGGGAGGATCGATGCCAGGGGAAGAGAGAGAAAGAGGGATGGGGGGGGGGAGGGGGCAGGGGTGCAGAATGGATATGTAGGCTACTATCAGGGGGGTGTCGCCTCGGTATGAACCAAACCCTCCATGAATCCCCTGAAACCATCCTGCTACATGTCAGTCTCTCTGGGGAGGAGGGGCGGGGATGGGGGGCGGCAGCCACCCGCTCTGAACATCCACCCACCGGCCCCAATGGACCCCCACGTCATCTTGCACATAATCAAACTTTTTCCCCGGGTCTCGGAAAAACGACAACCGGTCGACCCTCCTGCGCCATTTACTTCCGTTTCATTTGGCACAATCTGTCTTTGCCGCACGAGGCCGGAGGTTTTGAACGCGTGAATCTGCGCTTTTGTCCGCAACATCCTTCTGTCGCTTTGGACCACGCAGGCCTGCGGGATGAGCTGCGGAGGAGGGGGGCAACTTTATGAGGACACACACGCACGCACACACACACACACACACACACACACAACACACGCAATCAGACATTCACTACAAAAAAAAATGTTTCCAGATCAGGTAGTTTTACAAAATATTGCTGGGGATTTGTGCCGCGGACACGGAATAAGCGTATTTAACCTCTTATGCAAGATTTTTAAAACAGCATATTTAACAAACAGGTGTGGGGGAGAGAAGAGAGTAAGAAAGTAGAAAGTAATAAATAATCAGCGTAAAAAATCAGCCAACAAGTCGGATCAGTGCGAAGCAACAGACGGTCTCGCGGAGGAGAAAAAAAAAAGCAAACGTGTTCCCAAAGCGCACGACGTGATGCGCATCTACTTACATAGAGGAGATGTTTTTGAATAACTCTGCGATGTCAACAGTGGTCCCATTGGTCCCGGTGTCTTGCAGGGCGAGCAAAGGGAAAAACCTGCCGTTGTCGGACTTATTGCAGTAGATCTCTGTTTGAGAGCAGCTGCAGGTCGGCGGGCAGTCCAGCATGGAGCTCAGGTAGTCCTGGAAAACACTCATCAGGAACAAAACCCTCCACCAGCAAATCCGGATCGAATGAAACCATAGATCCATGTCTCCGGGTTGAAAGTGAGGGGGTGGGGTGTGGGGGGTGGGGGGTGGAGAAGAGGTCCCGATGTCCTCTGGGTTAGATACCGAAAACGGCAGAGTGGAAGGAAGGAAGGAAGGAAGGTAGGAAAGAAGGAGGGTGGTGGTGGTGCGTCTGTACAGAGGAGGCTCTATGTGCGCGTTTTTCTGCCGTGGAGCGATGCTGTAGTGTCCTTGCGCGTCAGAGATTGGGTGAAAAGGAGTAGACGGGGGGGTGTAAGGGGGAGGGTGGGGAAGGGTAAAAAAAAAAAGAAGAAAAAAAAAGAAAATCCAAAATCAGAGATAAGGAAACGAAATAACGTGAGGCTCCGGTCGTCCTTTCAGCCCAAAACGCATGGTCTCCCCCCCCCCCCGGAAAGCCGTGCTGCCGCTGCCGCTTGATGCCGTCGTCTCTCTCAAAGCAGGACCAGGACGACTGGAGCAGAAAGGCGCCGGATGAGAAGTTGGAGCATCAAGTCCCTCCTACCGGCTACAGTCATACTGACACCTGCAGCAAGTGCACGCAGCCAGCAGTGATGCTTTCACACAGGACTTCAACATGAGAGGGGCATTCAATTGACAGGAATAAATAAAAGTGGAATATATATAAAAATATATATATTTGTATTATTTACATTAAAACACATTTTAGGAGAAATGCGAAAATAATTTCTAAAATGATACCACTAAATTCAGACAGAGTGATCAGGATAAACAATGGAAAGGATCTTGATGCGAGATTAGTTAGAAATATAAAAACACAAATCACTAGAACATTTATTTAGCAGAAGTGTCCAAACCCTTATTGAACCCTGTTGGTGTTGGCAGTCACAGTGGGCCGGAGTGGAGACCATCCGACTCCTGATTGGTTCTAGCAGCACCTGTACCTGGACGGTTGGGTGACGCCTGAGCAAATCTGTGTTAATGTGCCAGAGGAGCCGAGTCAGTGGCCGTGCAGCCTGACAGAGCTCGAGCAGTTATGTAAAAGAAGAATGAGTGGGGGGGGGGGCAAAATGCAGCAACGCTGATAAAGACTAATCTACACAGACGCACGGCTGGAATCTGGACAGCGACTTGGAGCTGGCAAATAGGTTACGCAAACACGTATCTTCCATTCCTAATTTGGATCACTTTAAAGGGTGTTTTGGATGAAAACAACATGCAGTTGCTGATCTTTTTCTAACATCATTCCATACATCACATCTGGAAGTCAGAAATCATCTCTGCAACCACTAGTTGAGATGTGAAGTTAATAGCAGCTGAGTTGTGATGAAAATAACATACAGCCACGTTGACATTTAAAGTTGGAAAAACAATAGTGGGAATGCAAAGTAATAGGAGACGTAGCGAGACATCACCTTGATGAGTTGGTGCTCTTTGTGTTGGATTCTGTGAGGTTGTGACGATGAGGAAACGATGGCTTCAGTGGGATGCTGGATGAAAGTGATTTAATGTTCAAATGTAATTAATTATAGTTTTTCCTGTATTGTTCGTTTGCCAGAGCCAAGCAAAGCACCGTTATGGAAAATTGGTGCGTTCATATTTAATCTTAGTTCCATTTAAATAATGGAATATTAACATTAGTGTTCTGTAAATAAATAGAATTGCACACATTTATTAATAAATAAATAAATAAATAACAGTATCTACAATGAACCGTTCTATTATATGAAACTCTACTACTACCCACAAACATTCAAGTCCTATAGTAAAAGTAAAGCTCACAAAATCAGAAAATCAATTAAAAATGGACCACTTGGACATTACATGCAATATGCAATTTAAAATGCAATTTCTTCAACTTCCATTAGCAGGGTGAGCATCAGGTCAACATCAGGGGGGGCAGTAGCTCCATCTGTGAAACTCGGTTAGAGTTGCCGGCACAAGTCTCTTCGATGATGTGAGAATTGCAGAGGTGACCTTGGGGCAAGGCATCGGAAACTGCCCACTGCTCATAATACCAGGGACGATTACGTGTAGTATTTATAGGATAGTGTAATATATATTTATGCATCTATGTTACTGACTTCATTCTTAGTTGTATTGTCCATTTGACCATTTTATGAAGATGTACAGTCTCTAAACATGTAATACTACATCCCACATTGACAATGTTTTCAATTTGTTTTTTAATGCATCTTTGTATTTATCTTACTTAATTGAAGTTGTTCTGTCATATTTATACTTTTCTAAACTTATTTTGCAAGTGGTGCTCAATATGACCCCCTTCCAATGGAATTTTTGGTAGTAGTTTGAAAGTTTTGTGGCAGACTGATAGTAGAACCCCCCTCAATGCCCATCTGACCTTGTCTGAAAATAGATATTGCATGAAGGCCCTCTGACTGTGGCCTTTATGTGTCCTCCAGATCTGTACCTAAATCTGATTGGTTCTGATGCCATCCAGCTGCTTGTCCTTCTCTTTGAAATATTTCCATATGAGGTTTGGACAAACTCACTAAAAGGGTTATGAGTGCAGCCACCACTCTTCACCATGACGGGCTCACATCCCAAGCTGAAGGCAGACCATCTGCGGCCTGACTCCATCCCCCTTCCTCCCGCTCATTCAATTATCATCCTCCTTTGGCTCGTCAATGGCGCACGAGGCCCCTCTGATTTTAAATGTGTGTTCACCGTGACATCCACCAACCCCCTCTTTAGTTCTCCACCAGCTCAGCTGGTAGGCTAGAATCAATCAGCAACATCCAACATGGCTGTGCAGCCTTCAAAGGGTGCGGCTGCATGGGCAGAGCGCGGAGTTGTGGAGGACTAATTAAGTTCAGGAAGCAGTCCTGCCATCTCTCCAAACTGCGCAACTTAAAAGACGATGCGCTCTCACATCTGTTTTTACACCAGTGAAAGAAGCGAGAACTAAGTCTGCCCCCTCCAGAACCGCAGCGGAAAAATCTGATTTAAAGTAGAACATTCTACTTGTAGTAGACGGTTCAACACAAAGCCAATTGTTTCTTGGCTGTAAGACGTTTCAATCAGTGTTTTCCAAAAGAACGGTCAAACCATTGTGGATAAAGATGAGCCCATTTATATGTTAGATACATTGCCACGTTTCACTTTCCACCCAGAAACGCTTGATATCAGTCACTTTAACCTGAAGCCTCAGCTTGCACATTTAGTGCCCGCTAGGCTCCCTCAGTGATAAGCAGCCGCCACTGAGGATGCCTGCTAGTATTTACGGCTCCTCCCTGATGAGTGCCTCTACTCACTCAGAATGTCACCTGAGGAGTCAGAGCTCTGAATCTCCCCGTTTTAAAGACTTTCACTCTCTCTAAACAACCACCACACGTAACCCCATCAGCGTTTAACCTCCAGCTGCGAACGGTGATCTGGTACGAGCTTCTCCAGGAAGCCGACAGTTCGAGACTGATGCAACCTGCTGTTTGTTTCCAGTCTGTTGCTACGCTCTTTTATGTGGAAGCTTTTGCTCTTTTGTATGTCGGCTCTCCTTCTGAAAGTACAAAAGTATTTTTATCAACCATTACATGTTCCACTTAGTAGGCTGTGTGACACCTATTTCCCATTCTTTAGTTAAACTTTCATCAATACTTTATGAATAATTGAAAAGGGAAAAAGTATTAAAAAAATATACTGTAAAAATACTGGCAACGGGAAGGACGAGAGTCATTTTATCCACTTTGCACTTTTTTTATTCACGAAGCCAGATTATTTAAAAATATTATAATATTTGATTTATTGTATTAATTATTATTGGGAGCTACTTCTTTGCCGTATGTCATTTATTGGTTTTGTGTAGAGGGTCAGAAATTGTAGACTTACATTAGGTGAAAAAAGCAAAAGTTAGGATATGGCAACAAACCCACTCACAATAAAACAACAATGCGATGTCTCGTGGTTGAATATTATGTACTTTGTCACCCGCTCTCACTTAGTCACCATGATTGCATTTAATTTGCAGGTCCACCACTACAATGGATCCAATTGATTGCATGTTGTAACTACTTTAAGAAGAGCATGGGCGGGGTACTTTTGCATTAACGGGTGCTTAATGCTGCCTTGTTGGCCAGGACTCCTTCCGTAAGACAGATTTCAATCGCACTGCGCATCCTGGAAAACAAAGATCGAACAAAAACATTAAAATGAGTAGTCAATTTAGTTATTGCATTATCAAGATCCTAATTAGTTTTAAGAGATTAAGGAATCCATTTCCCTGTGCTCTGCTAAAGGCTAATGGAGGAACTCATCGCATTCAATCAATGCACACGTAGAGCGGCACTCGGTTTGAGAGGTTTCAACTTCTCACTCGCGCCTCACTTTGTCACTGACGTCATTCCTTTATTTCCTGCGTCCTCGACTCCATTGTGGCACTTCTTACTAATTCAAGGGAGGAGCGGGAATAATTCCCAAACGTCGGTCACGAGTGTGTGTTTTAGAAATATACAGATAAGCTGGGTTATTTTTTTCTTTTCTATTTCTGGAGGACAGTTTGGATCAACTTATTCAGACTGTCTGAAAGCGGCTCTGATGAGATAATACTGTAAAGCAATGAATGTGAAATAATGTTATGTTCTGCACACTATTACAGAGATCCTGAAAAAATATTACATTTTTGAAGAAGCTCTTGGTTAAAAACCTCTGTTCTTACATCATAAATTGAGGGAGCCAAAAAGGAAAAGAAGGATACAAGACGGATGAGAATTGGGGACAAGAGGGGGGGGGGGGGGAGTGGGGATGATGGTGACGGCGCTAATAGGAGAATTTGGAGAAGAAAGCATCACAGTGACAGGACGGTAGGAAGGATGTTTCCTCCGGGCCGCAGCAGTTTGGTGGAGGATGCAGCCAACACACCCAGCAGTCTGCAAGCTAAACAGTACGTACATTCCCCCCCCCACTCTTCACACAGCCCATATAGATTCTTTGTTTCCACCCCCATTCAGCTCTTGCCATTCAATAAGCTACAGTCAATTAGTCAAGGTGCATTACACATTGTAATCCTGACCTACGATTTACATCCCTCAGTGCTTCTGCCCTGCGAAGAAGGATGTACTCCCCACGCATTGGTGACAGTCCATGGATTTGATGACTTTTGATGAATTCTTGTCACTGAGTGCCATTAAGACTGAACTGTGACCGGCTATAATCAGCCACACATGACTCATCTGCCCTTGTCTTCAAAAGAGGCCGAAACCAAGACCAAATGTAATCAGCGGAGATATCCACGTTTAACCAGGAGATCATTTCAATCACAATGAGCAATCCACTCCACACTTTCAGATTTCTGCATCTGGCCGTTCACTAAGCCTTCAGCCTCTCCAGACGCAAACACACAAACAAGCATAATAGTGCAAGAAATTGATTTCACAGTGTGTCTGTCTGCAGTAACATCAGCTGCAAAGTCTCAGGTGCATTTTT